AATTGGGATGGGAGTGTTGGAGACAGTGCGATTGGCACAGGACAGAGCGGAGTTTAGGGCTGTTGTACATAGGGTCGCTATGAGTCGCAAGCAACTCGACGGCACATAACAACAACAACACTATTAAACTTTTAAACAGTAGTGTGGTATCATGAGTTTATTGTCCAAAGTGACTTTCCTAGCCAGAGGTTTTCATTTCACCACATACCTGGGACAGGAATCTGAAATAAGGTATATATGAATGAATCTTGATGGTATTGGTAAGTTTTTCCCATCCAAGAAGGTTTAAATTGAGTAGAGTTAGCAGCAATGGTGAGAATCTCAGTATCTGTAAATGACAGGAGTCAGAGACTACCACAAGTCTTCAGAGTCAGATATTAATGTGGCAGTCAAACCTGGAACTGCATAACATTAGCAGACTCAAGGGAGAATAAGAGATTAACATCAGACAGAATTGTTTGGGTTGCTGCCCCACAGAGCCAAGCAAGGGGCCTTTACCCAAACTTTCTATAGGACTATGGAAGATGTCATAACAGGCAGGACTGAGGATGCTTTAAGACACTCACCTAAGCCATGAGGTTGAAGGTCAAAGGGTCTCCAACTATGCTTGAGAAGGTGTCTGAACTGAGAATTTCCATCTTTCTGCCAATTTTAACTGCAACCTGTTGCCTTCCCAAACAAATCCCATTATCATGATTACGATCAGTGAAACCTGTATAGTTACAATGAATTTCAGAATCTGTAGTAAAGCAGAATGGGTGTTAGAATTAGTAGAAGTAGGTTGCAAGAGTGTGGAGGACATGTCTGACCTCATGGAAATTGGTTTTGTGGTTGTTTTTGAAGGCGACAGTTCCTCTTTGTTGAGCTCAGAATTGGCCATCCTCATACTGCCCTCATTCTGTATAACAAAATTTGTAATGTGGAAGAAACTTAAATGTTAACATCCAACAAACATCCCTCATAGAGGCATGAACTTCCTGTATGATGATACTGAAATTGTACACTTGCTCATTTTTTAAATTTTTTTCATTATTTTGTGTGTGTGCTGTCAAATTGGATCTGACAGCAGAACATCTGGTGGATTTGAACCGCATACCTCTGGGATTGCAGTGTAGCTTCTTGCCACCAGTGCTCCCCTTTGCTCTTTTTTTTTTTTTTTTTTTAAATGCTGGGAACTCACTGGCCTAAAGCAACCATGCCATCTTTGTTTTTTACTGTTTTTGAATTTCCCTTATCTAATGCAAACTTGTTTTCTTAGAACTTCTGCCTATGTTCATATAAGAATGCATGATCAAATTTAGAAAAGCCCACTTTAGTTGCAGATAAAATTATTCTAAACAATGTGGTTATTTTATTACAATCAATATTTTCATTTTATATTGTTAGCCTATGAAATCAAGGGGTAAAAAACTTTAAAAAAAACCCCAACTGATTTATAATGAGATCTTTTATTTACAAGGTCTTTCATTACATGATGTCAAACCAGTCCCAGTTGGAAAGATGATGAATTCCACTTGTAGTAGCTGACCTAAAGTTGCTGGTTTTACGCCTTTTCCAGCAAGCCATTGAGGTCTGTAGTCTTCTCCCTGTCACTTCTCAGCCTGCTCCATCATCTTCAATTTTAATTCTGTGAATTAGTCAGGAGAGGACAGTCTGGGCCAAGAGAGCACTAAGAACAATACTTTAAAGGAGGGGGGAATCCTTTATTACCTCTTGGAACATTTTAACAAAGAAAATGACTATCACTGCATCCTATCATATTGTCTTGGGGAGATAGTAATGCAATTTTAATTCATTTTACCAATATTCAGTAGGTATCAGTCTTTGCTCTCGATTTAGGACCTTGTGCTTGTAGCTGACATAAAGACAATTGAAAATATTATGAAAAGTGAGTAGTTAATGTTGACTCTCCTTCACACGTAAGCTGGTGAAATATATTCCAGTGTTTTACAGATTTGAAGATGGTCCTAATGAGACACTGGCATTTTTTCGCAAGAATAGACAGTATACATAAGTAGTTCCAATCTGAGTTTATCTATGGCATTTAAGGAGATGTGCTGACAATCCAAAGACAGGTAGTTCACTGCTTTGTAAAAGAAAGATGGGAAATTTAATTTTATGTGATTTACAGCCTCTGAAAACTTGTTGAAAGCTCAGCTATGAGTTCAGACTTGTATTTATTTTTAAAAATGTTTGGTATTTTGGTTTTTAAGGTTTTTTTAAATAAGGCTTCAACAAGCATGAATTAAAAGGCTGAAAATAATTCTATTAAGAATACCTCATCATTTGCCTTCCAGGTCAGTGAGTGATATATTTTCCTGACAACTCCAGTGAACAGGAAAGATCCAACAGAGACACCAGTCGTCCTCCCTTAGACGGTGCAACACCCATTCTTTCCCCCCATTGGACGCCCACCATTTTGGCCCATTTGCCTTCCAGTTAGGGTGCTGGGGCCTGTGGCCCTAAGGCCAAATAAGGGAGATCACCAATAAGCAAAATATTGTCAAGACATGACCTGCAACTTATACAAGAATGAAGTCAAGGACCTGCCACTGAACTGTCCTATAGTACAGAAAACAGGTACTTTGGCTTCAAACACTGCTGACTAGCTACATCATATGGGATTTCTTAAAGTCAAGTGGAAGACGTAGGGTGGAGGCAAAAGTCTTTCTAGCAGAGAAAAGGAAACCTGATTGGGAAAAAACATTTGGCAATACCATTTCACATAAGGGTCTCATAGCAACAGTTTACAGCATCCTACAATGCCTCCATAAGAAAAGGACTGATAACACAATTACAAAATGGGCAAAAGACATGGGAAATTTTTTCAGATGGTCAACAGACACATGATGAAATGCTCATCAAAATCACTGGCAATAGAGAGATGCAAATCAAAACTACAATGAGATAGCCTCTCACTCCAATAGCAGTGGCAAAGTTTAACAGAACAGAATGTAATAAATGTTGGAGAAGATGTGTGAGATAGGAACTCTTATACACTGTTGGTGGGATTGTAAAATGTACAACTCTGGAAGCAGTTTGGCATTTCCGTAGAAAGCTGAACATAGAAATTCCATGTGACCCAGCTATTCCACTGCTTAATATTTACCCAGAGAGAATGAGAACTGAGGCACAAACAGAGACTATTACACCAATGTTCATAGCAGCATTATTCACAATTGCATGGACATGGAAACAGACCAAATGTCCAACTACAATAAAAGAGATTGAGAAACTATGGTACATTCATACAAGGGAATATTATGTAGCATGCAGGAACAATGATTTTATAATCACTACCTACTTGGGAGGGACTAGAAAGCATTATGCTAAGTGAACTAACTTAGTCCCATCAGGACAAATACTGTATAAAACCATTATTATAGAATGAGTATGAGGCTCTAAGGAGGGGTGGGGAGGAAGCAGAGGGGTGAGGACAGTGGGGGTTAGAGGATGGTCAATCATAGACTCGTATAATTTGATGGGTGGATGGGGGGTACGGTAAAGGAAATGGGAAAGATCTGGTGTGAAAAACAATGTATAAGAACTTTTTAAATAAAGTAGTATAAAAAATAATAACTCATTCTCAAAAAAGTAATTTGTTTTATTGAATAAAGATAGTTTCAATAAGAGTATAAATTAGCTTTAATTGTATAATCTGGAAACCAGGATATTTACATTCAAACATTATTCTACTAGTAGGTAATTTAAATATATTTAATTTGATATAAATATAGATTTTAAAGAATATCCATATTTGGACATAATTTTTTTTAAAGGAAAGAAAACAAAGACAGAAATTTTGCTTGTCCTGTCAGAAATTCACAAAGATTTGCATAAAAATTTCTATTAATTTATCTCAGAAATAAGGCAATAAACCAATTTCCATGAACACAAACTTTAAAATATTAGGGATTGTGCTGTATGTAAAACTGTTTGAGACAATCTATATAGGAAATACGATCAAGATTCATAATTGCACAAATTTGGAAGGCCTTACATGTCTCATCACAAATTACACTGCTGTCATAACTCACAAAGAAATAATTGTAGTACTTCATAAACTGCTTACTGTCTAGAACTGCAAATTGTTTCGCTAAACTGTATAAATTTTTTGGTTGCAAATCTTCAATGCCATAGACTTGGGTCAGGATGTACTCCAGTTTCCAGTTAGATTCTCCCTTCAGATTAGCCTCTGTTAGGTTCAGGTAATACTGCAACATATCCTATAGTAAAAAACAAAAAGTCTGGTTTACTTCTCAGTATAGAGGGAAAATGTGGCATCAAAATTGGAGGAAGACTCATCAACAACCTGTTCTATACAGATGACACAGACTTCGTTGCCAAAACTGAGGAAGACTTGAGGTATTTGCTGGAGAAGGTCAAGGACTGCAGCTTTCAATATGGATTGAAGCTCACCATCAAGAAAACAAAGATTCTCATCATAAAAGATAAAGATGAGACACAGATTTTTTAACAGCTTCAGCTTTCTTGGCTCCACAATTAACACGTACCAGTAACCAGGAAATCAAAAGACAAACTGCATTAGGAAGTCTACTGTTGCGGACCTCTCCAGAGTACCGAGGAGTAATGATGTCAGTCTAAAGACTAAGGTCCACATGATCCAAGCCATGGTCTTTGCAATTAATTGCTATACATCAGAGAACTGGACATTATTTTAAGAGTTTCTGATCTGCCTCTCAGTTCAATGAGTAGTAACTAAGGTCTTGAAACCTTGTCATTCAAGGTACAACATTGTCCCTATTCACCAAGAGTGACAGCAGTAACAAGAATCAGAAAAATTTGTTTTTGTTTTTGTTTTTTTTTAATCAGAAAAATTTGTAATGCAGTTTTAGTTGCCTTCATGAACGTCTGAATACTTTTGAGCCCCATTACCATTAAAGAATGTTATCATTAAGCACTCTATTAATCATTCATGTTCAAAAAGGGGTATATTCAGATTAAAAAGATCTCTATAAATGTTAAAAATATAGTTATTTAAATATTTCTATTTAGAACTATCTTTAATGTGAAATAAAATGACAAATCAATTATAAAATCTAGATTTACTGGACTCACCAGGATTGCAGAGACTTCTAAATACGTTGTGAAATGAGAACTGTTGAACCTTAAATTAAAATTATCTCCTGAAGTCATTTATCTAAACAACACTTTAGCCAAGTAAGTAAAGAATATTTGCTTTGAGAATTATACTCTTTTTAAGAATTATCTATAGTAGATCAATCTGACAAAATAAATCTAAAGTCAACAGATGGGCACCAAATTGAGCACAATTTAAATTCTGAAATCCTGATGGAAACAGCTTCTCATCAATTTACATGTAGAAAGTGTTGACACATTCCAACCATCAAAACCAACAAATTCTTAAATTTCCTTTTTAAAAAGATATTACATCTATGCTTAGAAACATTCAACTAAACCAGAGTAAACTGTAGAGACATGCTTTAAGTATACAGTGAACTCTAAAATTGTGCAAACATACCAATAACTGATAATTATGAGGATCATACTGAAATAGTCTGACACCAGGATTGTTGGTTTGCTTTTCCAAAACACTCTTCACTGGAGTAACAGCAGGAGCCACAAATAGAGAATTTACTGGACTTCCTGCAGGGGAAAAAATAGCTGTTAAAAAAACCTTAAAACCTAAATTTAACTATAATAAAAATATTAAGAAGTTTCCTATTAAAATGATAGAGCCAAATTTTGTATGAACATTCATTGATCATGACTGCTAAGAGGCAAATGATGTAAGGAGAAACTTTTTTTTTAAATAAAGCTAGAGAATTTTTACTATGGCTTAGTATTAGATAATAGTAAGTATTAACTATTTTGTTAAATAAATCAATGTCTATACATTTAGCAATATCTACAGAGGTTTATAGGCTAAAATTATCTAATGTTTGATATTTACTTCAAAATAGGCAAAGAAAATGTAGCAAAATCATTGAAAAAAATCAATGATGTGTATACTGGGTTTCATTGTATTTCTCTCTCTGCTCTTATGTGTTTTAATTTTTCAAATTTAAAAAAGCATCTGTAATCAACATCCTTTGTACCAGGGATCAGGAGATGTATTGCACTGGGAAAGTCAGCTGTCAGGGACCTCTCCAAATTATTGAGGAACAATTATGTCAGTTTGAAGACTAAGGAGCATCTATTCCAAGCCACAGTCCTTTTCATCACTTGCTACACATCTGAGAGCTAGACAATGAATAAGGACCCTTTTCAGGACGAATCTGTTTTCCTAGCAGTCCATGGTACTCTCAATACTCTTCTCCAGCACCACAGCTCAAAGGCATCAAATTCTCCTTCTATTCTCCTTGGTCATTGTCTCTGATTGCGAAGACCATGGCCTGTATCAGATGCACCTTAATCTCCAGAGAGACACCACTGCTCTTCAGTACTTTGGAGAGGTCCCTAACAGCAGACTTTCCCATGGCAATACGCCTTTTAATTTCCTAGCTACTGGTGCCAAGAGTGTTGACTGTGGAGCCAAGCAAACTAAAGCTGTGAACAATCTCAATCTCTTCACCATCCATCCTGATGCTGCGAATTGGTCCAGTGGCGAGAATCTTTGTCTTCTTGACATTGAGCCTCAATCCATATTGGAGGCTGCAGTCCTTGGCCCTCTGGAGCAGGTGCTTCATGTCCTCCTCAGTTTTAGCAAGCAGGGTTCTGTCGTCTGCATAACGCAGATTGTTGATAGATCGTCCACCAATCTTGACCCCACATTTCTCCTCATAGAGCCTAGCCTCCCGGATAATCTGTTCTGCATACAGGTTGAAAAGGTATGGAGATAGGATGCATCCCTGGCATACGCCCTTCTCAATTTTAAACCACGCAGTGTGTCCTTGCTCTGTTCTGACGACTGCCTCCTGATCCAAGTATAGGTTTTGCATTAGAACAATCAAGTGTTCTGGGATTCCCATTCTTCTCAGAGTCAGCCACAGTTTGTTATGATCCATGCAGTCAAACGCCTTTGCATGGTCAATGAAACACAGTTTTTATCTTTACTGGCATAAAATCGGAACTCTTCATTTGTAAATTTACAATTTTCTGCACTCATACCAAAGAAACTTTTCAATACAGTCAACTCAGATCAACTCATTGCCATCAAGTTGTAACCAACTCACAGCTGACTCTCCGTCAGGTTTTCAGAGGCTGCCAATCACAGGAGGAGACTGTCTATTTTTCTATTGCTGAGAAGCTGGTAGATTTGAACCATCTGCCTTTGGGTGGTAGTGCAACTTGTTATCCATTAGGAAATAAATTAAAATATATTCTTATAAGAGCTTAATATATTTTTTTTTGTTAAACCACTGATACAGAATTGTGTTTGGCTCTTTAAGTCCCCAGAAGTAAAATAAATAAAAAAACAAACTTGAATCTACCTGGGAAGTACTAAGAAGTGGGATTTTTTTTTTTCTGGGCAGAAGGATCTGAAAGCAAATTTGAATGAGTTGCGTTTCAGAGGTTTTGTTGCCTGTAATTAAATGATGGTGGTCCTGTGGAGCAAGTAGGGATGAGTGCTGATGAAAACCAATTGCCGTCTAATCTTACTTCAGAGACTCATCATACAAACTACATGAAATTGTTCAGAAAAGACTGGTCCTGGCAATGTAATATAAGGAAATTTAATGTACTGGATTTTATGTGGTGTGTTGTGCCTATTAAACTGGAGAAATTGAAGGAAAGTCTCAGATTACCTTCTGTGTCTGAAAGAACCATAATACTATCTCTGTGTGTATGTCCATAAAATTGTCCTGCAATGACATCACTGTATTTTCTGAAAATATTGATCAACTTCTCATTATAGTACTCTCTCATGGCTGTGGTACTCCTTGAATATGGCAGATACCCCACTGGAACGTGTGCTATCAGGTACACCTGGAAAAAAAACACACAAAGACTAGTGAGAATCGCTTTGCATATTTACCATAGCTAAGTGTTATCTAGGGAGCTCTGGTGGTGTATCCACAGGGAGTTGAGCTCTTAGCCCAAAGATTGTGCCTCTCTGGAGGTCTGGATACACCAGTAGCATGACGGGAGAAAGGTGAGCAATCTACACCCATGCAATTTACCGCCTCTGAAAACCCACATGAGGTCAGCTATGAACTGGTTCCAATTCAATGGCAAACAGCAAAACTCCATGGGAGGATCAGCTACAAGTCAGTCCTTACTGCAAGGAAATGACTGACTTTTGTCTTTTGGAAGCAGGAGTAGCATCCACTTCCTAAACAACATGTCTCTGGAAACTATGATCTTTGATAAATGCTGATAGTTATAGAAAGGCCTCAGGTCTTTTGTTCATAGGGTCACTATGAGTCGTGCTCTACTCGAAGGCAATCAACAACAGCAGCAGCAGCAAGTAACATTTAGATGCCCAAGACGGAAAGATTTGAAATATAGAAAATGAGTCAATAATCTTTCTATTTTACAGGAAAAAAAAAGAGACAAGAACAGAAAAGTTTTTATATTTGCATTTGTCTCATCTGAACTACACTATTGATATATAACTCTGATCTTGATCATAGATCATTTTTTAAAAGTAGATCTTTTCATTATCATAAAAATAGAAGGATAACTAATAAAACATGCATGGGGGCCAGGAGGGAGGAGGTGAATGAAATGCAAAGGATCTGGCTGGGACTTAAAAAGATAAGCAATGATGGGTATGGTCCAACGGTGATTAATTTAATAAAACAGAATACATGAGAATGAGTGTGTGAAACGCAATGTTAATGAATAATACTATGAAACACAATGTATACAAACTTTTTAAGCAGACCAATACAAAAAGTCTTTTGATTTATAGATGTTAGTCAATCCTAACAATAATCAACCCTCAAAGTATTACATGCAAAATAAAATGACAGAGAGGCACTGTAAAGTGTTTATATGAAACCATCTTCACCTGGAGATAATTTTCTTTTCTAAATACCTGATTCCCTCTCCTCTCTTCTAGTCCAGTAAATACACCTACTGAGCCCTCTGTTAAGGACTCGAATGGCATGCTACCAGGGCTTTGGTCTGTGGTAAACAGTGCCGCTGACCCAAAGCAATGCACTGGGGTGGTCTGAATCCAACAGTGGCTCTGCAGGAGAGAGACAAGCAATCTCCTCTTATGTGATTTATAGTCTCAGAAGCTCACTAGAGGGTCAACTACTAGCTAACCAAAGAGCAATGGGAGTTTTCAAGCCTTGTTCGTTGGTGGTTTTGGTCTATGGGGTCTACCTTTTCCTTATTTTGCCAAGAGTTGTTCAATGTCTTTTCAAGCCATTCAAACTGATTTGCGGGGTCGGTCTTGTTCAAGGTCACAATATTTGGGCCATAGTACAAGTTTGTGTTCAGACTGATGATTCTAAGGCTCGAATTAGTGGTAACCTTCTGTGAATAAAAGCCACCTATAAAAAAAAATTAGGGAAAGACAAACATAAACACATGCACACACATACAGTGAAAGCAAATTATTAATAAAGATTTGCAGTCCTGTCAAGAAAATTGAATTTATCTATAGCATGGTTTTATTTACATATTCAAAGGTCATCAGACTAGAATCACATCTAACAATTATTAAATAAATATATATAAGGGTTAAACCGGGCGGCTCCTTGGAGGCAAGGATTGTGAGGCTTCGTCTGGCATACTTTGGACATGTTGTGAGGAGAGAACAGTCCTTGGAGAGGGGCATTATGCTTGGGTAGGATGGAGGGACAGCACAGGAGGGGAAGGCCCTCTAAGAGGTGGATTGATTCAGTAACTAGGGCAATTGGGATGGGTGTGTCAGAGACAGTGCGATTGGCACAGGACAGAGCAGAGTTTAGGACTGTTGTACATAGGGTAAGCGACTCAACGGCACATAGCAACAACATATAATTTAGAAGCAGTAGTGGCATCTGCCTCTGGAAACTCTATGAACTTTGATAGATGTCAATAGTTGTAGAGGGGCTTCAGGCCTTTTGTTCATAGTGTTGCTATGAGCCATGCTCAACTCGAAGGCAATCTACAACATGTATCTGCTCAGGTCCAAAATACCAGTTCAGCATATGAAAGCAATAATTATATTCAATCTTAGATGTTCAGATGATTAAATACTTTGGCATTAAGTGACTGGTCTACTGAATTTTATTTATTTTTTGGGGGGAAAATGTTTTCTATGTGGAAACTATAGAACAATATCATTCATTTCACATGCAAGCAAGATTCTGCTGAAGATTATCCAAAAACTACTGGAACAGCACATCAGCAGAGAACTGCCAGAAGTCCAGGCTAGGTTTAGAAGGGGTCATGGTACTAGGGATATTGTAGCTGATGTTAGATGGATATTGGCTGAAAGCAGGGAGTACCAGAGGAATGTGTGCTTCATTGATTATGCAAAGGTGTTTGACTGTGTGGACCATAACAAACTGTGGCTGACTCTGAGAAGAATGGGAATCCCAGAACACTTGATGGTGCTAATGTGAAACTTATACTTGAACCAAGAGGCAGTCATCAGAACAGAGCATGGAAACACTGCATGGTTCAAAATTGGGAAGGGAGTACTCCAGGGATGTGGCCTGTCTCCATACCTTTTCAACCTGTATGCAGAACAGATCATCCAGGTGACTGGGCTCTATGAGGAGAAATGTGGCATTAGGATTGGTGGAAGATCTATCAACAATCTGCGTTATACAGATGACACAACCCTGCTTGCTGAAACTAAGGAGGACCTGAAGCACTTGCTGTTGAGGGTTTGCAGCCTTCAATATAGATTGAGGCTCAATGTCAAGAAGACAAAGATTCTTACCACTGGACCAACTGGCAGCATCAGGAAGGATAGTGAAGAGATTGAGATTGTTAAAAACTTTAGTCTGCTTGGCTCCACAATCACACTCTTGGCACCAGCAGCCAGGAAATTAAAAGACGTATTGCGGTGGGAAAGTCTGCTGTTAGGGACCTCTCTAAAGTACTCATGAGCAACGATATGTCTCTGGAGACTAAGGTGTGTCTGGTACAGGCCATGGTCTTTGCAATTACTTGTTATGTGTCAGAGAGCTGGACAATGACCAGGGAGGATAAGGAGAATTGATGCTTTTGAGCTTTGGTGTTGGAGAAGAGTGCTGAGAGTGCCACGGACGGCTAAGAAAACAAACAGATTCATCCTGGAGAGGGTTAAAGCAGGCTGCTCCTTGGAGGCAAGGATTCTGAGGCTTCGTCTGACATACTTTGGTCATGATGTAAGGTCCTTGGAAAAGGACATCATGCTTGGGAGGGTGGAGGGCAGGTGCAGGAGGGGAAGGCCCTCCAGGAGATGGATTGATTCGGTGACTGGGGCAATCGGGATGGGTGTGTCAGAGACAGTGCGATTGGCACAGGACAGAGCAGAGTTTAGAGCTGTTGTACATAGGGTCACTATGAGTCGCAAGCAACTCGACGGCACATAACAACAACCAACAACAACAACATATCAATTCCTCTATCTTTACACTACTGTGGAGTTAAGATGGTAGAAAAAAGCCTGCAGGGTGCAAAGAGTCTGTGATCAACTGCTAACCTAAAGCTTAGTGGTTCACACCCATCCAACAGCTCCATGAAGAAAAGGCTAGAAAACCGCTTCTGTAAAGGTGGTTGTTGTTGACTGCTGTTGAGTCCAACACGACTCATAGCGACCCTATGAACAAAAAGCCCGAAGCCTTTCGATAAGTATCATTGTTTCTCAAAGTTCATAAGGTGAGTTTCCAGAGGCATGTTGTTTAGGTAGTAGGTGTCACTACTGCTTCCAAATGGTGGTAGTGGTGGTTGTTTTGTAACATCAAGTCATCTGAATCATAGCGACCCTATGTATAAGAGCACCAAAGTCTGCTCTACCCCTTGCCAATCTTATCACCTCCGATACACCTATCCCCATTAACCCAGCTACTCAATCAATCCACCTCATCGAGGGTCTTCCTCTCCTGTACTGTCCCTCCACCCTCCCAAGCATGACGTCCCTCTCCAAGGACTGATCCCGCCTTGCAACCTGTCCAAAGGAAGTCAGACGAAACTTCAGAATCCTTCCTCCAAGGAACAGCCTGGCTTCACCCTCTCCAGGAGGAACTTGTTTGTTCCCCTGGTAGTCCATGGTATATTCAATACTCTTCTCCAGGACCACAGCTCCAAGGCATCAATTCTCCTTCTATTATCCCTAGTTATTGTCCAGCTTTCTGATGTATAGCAAGTAACTGCCAAGACCATGGCCTGTGTCAGGCACAGTTTAGTATCCAGACTGACATCATTGCTCTTCAGTACTTTGGAGAGGTCCCTAACAGCAGACTTTCCTAATGAAATTAGTCTTTTGGTTTCCTGCCTGCTGGTACCTGTTGATTGTGGAGCCAAGCAAACTAAAGTTATTGACAAACTCGATCTCTACATCATCTATCATGATGGTGCCAATCAGCCCAGTGGTGAGAATCTTTGTTTTCTTGATGTTGAGCTTCAATCTATATTGAAGGCTGCAGTCCTTAACCTTCTGCAGCAAATGCTTCAGGTCCTCCTCAGTTTCAGCAAGCAGGGTTGTGTCATCTCCATAACACAGACTGTGATGAATCTACCCCCAATCTGATGCCACATTTCTCATAGAGTCCAGCCTCCCAGGTGATCTGTTCTACATATAGATTGAAAAGATATGGAGATAGGACACATCCTTGGTGCACAACCTTCCCAATTTTGAACCATGCACCGTCTCTTTGCTCTGTTCTGACGACTGCCTTCTGGTCCAAAAAGAGGTTTCACATAAGCACAATCAAGTGTTTTGGGATTCCATTCTTAGAGTCAGTCACAGTTTGTTATGATCCACACAGTCAAATGCCTTTGCTTAATCAATGAAACAATTCCTCTGGTAGTCTCTGCTTTCTGCCAAGATCCATCTAAAATTAGCTATAATATCGCTAGTACCACGGCCTCTTCTAAACCCAGCCTGCACATCTGGCAGTTCTTTGTTAATGTGCTATTCCAGTCGTTTTATGATAATCTTAAGCAGAATCTTGCTTGCATGTTAGTTATATCAATGATACTGTTCAATAATTTCCGCACTTTGTTGGGTCACCTTTCTTTGGAATGGTAACAAATACAGATCTCTTCCAGTCAGTTGGCCAGGTTGTTGTCCTCTCGATTTCTTGGTGAGCACATCCAGGACAGCGTCTGTTTGTTGAATTATGTCAATCAGTGTGCCATCAATTCCTGGGGCCTTGTTTTTTGCCAGTTCTTTCAGAGCAGCTTGAACTTCTTCCTTCATCACCACTGGCTCTTTGTTCATACGTTGTTTCATGAAATTCTTCTGTGTGTACAAATTCCTTTTGGTACAATGACTCTGTATAATCCTTCCATCTTCTTTTAATGCTTCTTGGATCATTTAATATTTTGCCCAAAGCATCCAAAGGGTAGAGTCAGGAAAACGCCACAGAGCAGTTCTATTCTGGAACCCATGAGAGTACTAAAATTCAAGGATCAACTCAAAGGAAAGAATACAAACAAGAGTTGCTGTGAAATCAAAACATTTGAAGAATGAAAACCATTCCTCTTGGAGTTTGCTGGGAACTGCTGAAGAAGTCACGGCAGACAAGCTAGATCTTGCTCAATCTCAGGAGAGAAGAAATACACAGGCCTAACTCCAGACAGCCTTTGTCCCAGAGTTGGCAGAACACGAAAGGGTTGGCCATAATGGGAACAGGGGAGCTAGCTGGGGGAGCCAAGCCAAGCTTTCTTTGTCCTCAAGTATTAAACATGACACATCACCACCTCTTTAGTTTTCCCTAGTTCTCATCTGTAGTCATATCAGCTTGTAATTCTGACTATGACTGCAGCAGGGTAGAGCTTTGAGTCTGATGGAAGTTATTTCTGAAAACCTTCCCGTCTGACTTTAACAAATTGGAGGTTATAAGACAGCTCTCACCAGGGCCAAGAAATAATAATGTTTCAGGTATTCTAGGCCAGATCTCTCTGCATGAAACCACTTCTGCTTTTAAAAGCTTTCATCATTAATAGGTATAGCAATGAGTAGCTGCCCACCATACTGAAATGTGCACAGCATTAGTTAAACGTCGGCATGCCATGTGCCCGGTCTCCCTGCATGCTTCTCTCCCTCTGAGCTTCCTTAGAATCAAGAATGGCTTTTTAGGAGCTTAACAAGTTGTTTTTCTTTTTTCATACAAAGATTTGTTTGGAATTGTTCTCTGACATATTTGCTGGATTTTTCACTTCATGAACCAGGTTTCCAGCGTGGTCCCCTGGTTTTCTTTCCAAAGGTCTGACAGTTACTCCTCGGTCACTTTTTTGGGTGAATCTTCCTTTGTCCTTTGGTTTATATTCTTCATGACTTACTCTTTGTCACATCTTTTTGTTGCCGTTCTTCATACCGTTCCTTGGTGATTCCATTTAACTTTAGGTTTTAAAAATCACCTTTAACGTGTTTGCAAATCAAACTTATTTTTGCATCCAATATAGATTAACTTAATAGCATCAAACAACAACAATATAGCAGTTCAAGTTTTAGGAGTTGGTTTTTTTTTTTTTTGAGAAACTGCTATACTGTTTCCCACAGCAGCTTGCATTCCTGCTAGAAATAGGCTGTTGTTGTTGTTGTTGCTTGCCTTTGCACTGAGCATGACTCACAGGGACCCTATGAACAAAAGGCCTGAAGCCCTTCCACAACCATCACCATTTATCAAAGTTCACAGAGTTTCCAGAGGTCTGCTGTTTAGGAAGTGGATGCCACTCCTAGGGTTCCAATTCTCCCACATCTTTGCCAACATTTGTCATTTATTTACTTTTTAATCTTAGCCATTCTTATGTCTCTGACCATTGTTCTGTGGCTCGCTCTTCAAATCACACAAGCTCTTCATAAATAGAGATGGTCTAGGTGATGAGGACTCAGCATTACCATTATTAGTTGCCTTCAATGCAATCTCAATTTTTAACAGCCTTATTTGTGGGGCATCACATTAGAACAGTGTCCTAGAGTTTTCAATGGCTGATTTTTAAAAGTAGATCATCAGGCCTTCCTTATTTGGCATATATAATTCGACTCAAACTCCTAAACTTTATCTTAACAATAGAGCATGTTAACTGTTTGTAGTACTCAAAGCTAAATGCAGTTCCCAAGATTAATCATGATCATTACTTCCTTCTATGGTAACCCCAAAACAAAACAAAATCCACTGCCATATAATTGATTGTGACTCACGAGGATCTTATAAGAGAGAGTAGAACTAACTCATAGGGTTTCCAAGGCTGCCAATCTTTTAGGAAACAGGCTACCATATCTTTCTTCACAGAGCAGCTGGTAGGTTTGAACCTCCAACTTTCTTGTTAGCCGCCATATACTTTAACCATCACACAATATGGCCTTTAATTCTAAGGTAACAGGTCTTAGAATTAAAACATAAGTGAAAATATATTTGAACGATACATTCATTCATTCATTTATTTATTTATTCTGTGACTTTCTGTTGCTAGCAACAAACCAATCACATTTAAGAGCCAATGTTGAAGAGAAATAGTGGAAAAAGAAAAAGACCTGAGAGAATTCTAGACATGCCTTAGTTTTTGTATGATAATTGCTAAAACACTAAGGTTTTAGTTGAGCAGTTGGGTACACCTCCATGAAGTTCAGAAAATGTCAGGGATTTGCCCAGAGATGGTTTGTGAAGACACAGCCGATGGAAGATTTCACTGGATGTGCTTAAGTCCCAGCATATCAAGCATCTACACTCAGTTAGCATCACTAAAGGTTTGTTTACTAAAACCTTGCTTGCCTGGTCAAAACGTAATATCCATCTTCTTTTTTCACTCAATGTACTAGTTAGTTATAAAAGTATGCATTCATTTACATTCAAGTCTGCTTCTCATGAAACATGACTAATTGAGGGTGGGGGAAAAAATGGGAAAAAGGCTTCCCGCCACCTAAACAGGTTCCTAGCAGATGTTCAAAGCCATGTTTCTACTCACCGTCCTCCAGACAAACTGAGCTCAGAGGCCCCGTGGAGTTGGCACAGCAAGAGCATTAAAGATTTTAAGTCTAAATGACACAAATAAAAATGAGAGGCAAATACAGATGAGCAAATCCTTCACTTACCTTTCCTTAAGGTGCTGGTAGCTTCTTCATTTAGCCATGGCTTCCAAAGTGTGGCTACTGCATTATACACTTTGCTAGTGGCTATAGGCAGTTGATCCTGGCCACAAACAACATAATACACCATATAAATATTAGAAGACATAAGGACTAATCAGCTAAAATTTTGTACAGCATTGTTGTGTTGTTAGGTACCATCAAGTTGAATACGACTCAGTCATTCTATGAACAGCTGACCTGAACCCTGCCCTATCCTGTGCCATCTTCATTTCTGATTCACTTGAGCTCATAGTTGAAGTCATCACCGTCAAGCTATCTCCTTGGGGGGTGGGTCTTTCTCTCCTTCGCTGACCCTCCATCTTTCCAAACATGATGTCCCTTTCCAAGAAATAGCCTTGCCTAGCTACACATCCTAAGGATGAAAAATGAAATTTCAGGAGCTCTGGTGGCTTAGTGTCAAGAAGCTGCACTGCAATCCCAGAGGTGCACAGTTTGAATCACCAGATGCTCTGCTGGAGAAGGAGGAACAATTTCTTCCTGTATCAGTCAGATCTGATTTGATGGTACATGCATAAAACATAATAAAATAAAATTTTTTAAAAAGAAATTTCTAAAAAAAAAAGAAAGAAATTTCTCCATCTTTGCGACAAAGGAGGCCTCTGGCTGCACTTTTTCCAAGATCTTATCAGTTCTTTTAAGCATTAGGCATGTGGAAATGCAAGGATGAATATCAGATTTGCTGAGTCTTTAAGATACTATAAATTAGTTGGGAAAGGAAAGACAAAACTATACAACAATGTGCTGGCTGAATGCTACCAGAGATCCTTCCCCAGCATGTCAGGGTGGAGAGGGTTTGGTTCCACTCCTGAAGAATGATTTCACCTAGCCACATGAAATAGCATCAGAGAAAAATAGCAACAGTGGCCTGAACACAAATACAGGTATGAAAGTATAATTCCAACCCAGTCCAGATCACATGTTTTAGTGGGCCAGGGCATAAGATGTGTGAAGGAGCACACTTACTAAAAGCAAGTTTGCTCCTGACCACATAATGTCTAGTGCAGCATGACAAAGGAACGGCTTATAATCCACATTTATATTATTATAGTTATTTGCAATCAATTTTTTTTTCCATTTCAAGGTCTCTTTATGTCGGACTAAACAATCTTTAAGATATATTGAATAAAAATAAGTCACTTGTCTGATATAACTATTTCTATTATTTAAAATATTTTAAAGCTAAGCCCTTTTCCTACTTCCTCATTTCCTTCTGTATTTTGCTGATATAAATATATTTTAGACACATTTTCCAGTCAGCATTAACAAAAAATCACTTAGTCATTTTCCAGGATGACACAAGAGTTACTTTAGTAGTTCAAGGTGACCTTTCCTAACTGCTATGATACATGATGAGAACAGATGTACATTCATTCAAGTAATAACCAAACAACTTAATTGAAGGGAACTATCTAAAATATACTTTCCATTCACAGTAGAGATTATCTGACAGAGAATTAAGAACTAGGGCAAACTAAATCCTAATTAAGAAATGATAACAATATTACTAACAATATAAAATAACAGTCTTGCTCATTTCTTTCCTTTTGAATGGATACGAAGATACTGACATCACCTTCCAGAATCTTAAATTATATAAAAATTACTCTCCAGTTTACTATTTTGAATATGACATTATATGGGCAGCAGAGAACTTAGATAACTTGCTAGGGACAGCTGACCAGTTCAAGAGATAGGTTTAAATCCCAGGTCATCCCACCATCAGACATATACCCAATTGTATATTTCACCATGATCTTTTCCATTTCTTTCTGGTTGTGATGTGACCACTGCCAAAAAAACAAGGTGTAATGGAGAAAGGACCCGCCCATAAGTTTGGCGGTACCAGACTTGCCAATGCAGGAGTAAAGGAGGATCCTGGCCTTTATTGCTTCCTTGGGAGGCATAGGCAAGAATCCTTGGGCTGCCCACACTAATATCTATCTCTCCTGATGTAATGGGTGGGGACATACGTCTGTGTATAAATGTTTATGTAACCATGGTGCGTAATGGAGAAATAAGACACTATAAATTTATTTGTCCTAACATTTATCAGAACCAGATCTCAGATATGAGTTTCTATAAGAATTTATTTTGGAATTTTGCAGGTCACATTTGATATTTAGTAAAGTGCAAGCAGGGAGAATGGCAATAGAAGTAGGTCTTTCAGATACAAAGCCCATAAGTGAGAAAGATAAAGGAAATTAAATGTTTACACTATAATGGCTTTACTTTAACTAGATATATAATAAAATATATCGTAGAAGTTAATATTTCTACTTTTGAATTATTAAAAGATTTGAATGCATGCACACACAAAAGACACAGATGAAAGTAAAGTAAAACAGAACCTCAATTTCAGTCAAATGCACCTTGTAAAACAACTGAACAACTACACTACATGCAGACAAGCTGGAATAACTACCATTCCATTTACTGAATGCTTATTATGTCCTTGGGTGGCACCAATGGTTAAGCACGGGATTGCCAACTAAAAGCAGTGAGGACCTTGACCATGACAGCTTGCTTGGGAAGCCACAGGATGGCTTAGGCTGCCCACACAAACAACTATTCTTGTGTAAAAGCAGCAAATGTATGACTCATGTATATTTATTTACTCACATGGTATAATATATGGGGCTGTGCATCTGCATCTGCCCCTGTAAGGATGTTAACTTTTTTATTCCTAGTTCAGATCCACCCAGAGGTGTCTTCTTATAAGTAGTTTACAAGTGATCTGCTTACAAAAGGTCACAGTCTTGGAAATCTATGCAGTCTTCTGTGCCCTCAGGGATCCAGGGTCAGAAATAACACAACAGCAATTAACAACAATGACATTATGTGACAGTAACTCAAATATGCCCTTTGTATATATATTTTTTCACTAATTGCCTTTAAAACTTGGGCCCCTAATTGCCATATAAAATTTTATTCTTATATTGTTTCTATCTATAAATAATTATTCCTATCTACCAGGGAGCTTTGGTGGCCTAGGAGGTAAAGAAGCTGTGCTGCTAACACAGACGCAAGTAGTCCAAATCCACCATTTGCTCCATGGGAGAAAGATGGGAGCAATCCCATGGGAGTAATCTCTTCCCATGTGATTTACAGACTGAAAACCCACTGGAGGGTCAGCTGTGAGTTGTAATGGATGAACAACATCTACAAATAGGGGGCCAATAGATCTGAAACAGTAGAACATTAAATGAATTATTCAAATTGGCTGATCTATTAAAAAACAAAACTGAATGGAGATTTAAATCCCAGCGAATATCACATATTTTCTACTATAGCTATTTATCATTTAAGGTATTAAAAAACATACGTGTGATCTTTTGCACTTGTAAATTGTCCTCAAGGCTCTGAATTGTTAAACAGTATGCTGAGCTGACGGTTGACATTTGTTAAGTCGCTGACTCACAACAATTCATATATTGTTTATCTCAAGAGGAGAAGTCAGTTCCAAGACATCATTTGAGCATAAATTTTGAAAATTATCGCAATGAGATTATACTCACTGCCATCAAGTCAATTCCAACTCATAGTGACCCTCCATTGGGTCTAATGCTGTCAATCTTTATAAGAGGAGACTGTGCTTCATAATCAAATTTTCCATTAAGCACACAGGTAACATGAGATAAAAAAAAAAAAAAAAGAAAAAGATGGTCTAAGAGAAAAATGTGGCCAATCATCGGGGTGCATGAAAGTAAATATGCTCATAAAGTATTGAGCATTTTTGTTGGGCAAGAGTTAAGAGATGTCGCAAAGAATGTTGGTTGAATTCAACATAACACTAGTGTGAAAAGATCCGGGGTGTAAGCTCTTTCCTGAGATACAGATATGGAACATGAGAACTTCAGCAATTTAACATATCTGACCCTCAATTTTCTCACCTATAAAAGAAAGGACAGAACTACATCAAGAGTCAGTAAACTTTTTCTATAAACGGTTTTTATAAAGGGTTAGACAGGAAATAACTTTTAGCCTGCTGGTCATAACATTTATTTCACCATTAGTCAACAGACAGACATGGACTGTTCCAATAAAACATTATTTACAAAAAGCCATGGAGCAGTCACCTGCAATTCCTTGGACTAACCAACATTTGAGATTCCTTGTTTTCTATAAACAATACTGCACACCATGACAACAGAACCCTGGAAGTAGGACTAATATCCAGCTGTGACAGGAAGACTAATCTATTAGGAATAAATAGATAGTCACTGTGATTAAATACTCCAACCACCCTTTCTATCCTGAATCGTCACATAACTAGATGTAAAGGACTTTAACAAAGACATTCCTCTTCAGTTTTTAGGGCATTCTGTTATGTTTTTATGTTTTAATCACAATTAAGTTTTGATTAAGTTTATGAAATTTTGCATGTCTGATAGAAAATTTGCAAAAGGTAAACATTTGTCAACATTAACCTTTCCTGCTAATTCTCAATATGAATAAAAAATTACTCAAAAAGAGAAAGTGAAGAAATGTATGAAGGAAAGAAGAAAATAATTATTCACATGTATAATTTGTTTCTGAAAAATCACTGTTGTTGTTGAGTGCCGTTCAGTTGGAACCAACTCAGAGCCGACACTCCAGCTGGTTTTCAGAGGCAATACTCACATGGAAGGAGACTGCCTATCTTTCTCCTGCAGAACAGCTGGTGGCTTTGAAACACACTAGGATTTCAGTGCAGCTTCTTACCACAAGGCTACAAGAGTTCTACTGAAAATTCACTAGTGATAGTTTTATAAAATATTACAGTTTAAAGTCTCCAAAGCACTCATCTTTTCTCCTCTAATGATTAGCATTAACTCACTCTTCAAGGAAGTTCAGCAGTGTGAGGCACAGAAAGTTGTGCTACTAACCCAAAGTATGCATTAATTGAATACTTGTATGTATATATGCTTCTCTCTAGCAGTTCGAATCTACCAGCAGGTCCTCAGGAAATATGGGAAATCTTCCTCTGTACAATTCACAGCCTCAGAAACCGATGGAGGGGCAGCTATGAGGTGATGCCAAACCTACACAGACTCTATTTCCACCCCAATTGTTGGTACATTATTGTCATTATCTTTATATTATTGTTGTTGTTATATGCCATGGAGTCACCTGAGATTCACGGCAAACCTATGTACAATAGCTCTGAACCCTGCCGGCAGCTTCTCAGGAAAAAGATGGGCAATCTTCCTCCATGCAATTCACAGCTTCAGAAAATTAAGAAACTCTTGGGAGCACTTTGGAAGTCGAGGTCATTTACCTGTGGCCAGTAATCATGATTACCCAGTGCAGGGAAAACCTGGAGTTTTGGAAAGAGACTCTGGACGGTGTTTGTCATGTTGGCGATCACATTTATAACCATGTCTGTCGACAGTTCTTGTACGGGAACATGAGGTGGGCTGTCCCTGCGAAGAGACAAGTCATAGAAAGCAAATTCAGCTTCTGTAAAACTTAGCCATGAGGCCTTGTAAAAACAGTATTACTGAGGGAGGGGCAGGGAGAAAAGTGCAACAATGAATGAATGGAAATCCAAAATCTCTGTAAATATTCATTAAAAATTAGTAAAACTTAAAAACAACAAAAAATAATATTACCAGCTTCTACTATAAAACAGCAAATAAAGTTAAGATGAATTGAAAAACTTCTTTTCCAAATGTCTACTCTCCTGTCTCCACATAAAATTCTACAAAAAAAAAATAAAAAATAAAAAAAATAACAAGACATGTAATACAAAAAAGGAGCTAGTAATTTCAACTTCCTTCTCTAACTGACTGAAAGTTTATGAGAAAAAAATGTATAGTAATACTGTAGAGCCAAAATGCCTAGATTTAAATACCAGCTTTCCCATTTCCTAGCTGTGTAGACCTGGGGAAACTATTTAGATGTTTGGTGCCTCCATTTTCCTTCTCTTTAAAATGGGAATGTTGATGCCTATTTGTAAAAGTTGAATGAGGATTTACAATATGTTAATTAATTAACAAGGAAACTGTGGTGGCCTAGTGCTGAGGAGCTGCACTGCCAACCCAAAGGAATACAGTTCAAATCTACCAGCTGTTCGATAAGAGGAGGATGGGCAATTTCCTCCTGTAAGATTGTATTGTCTCTGAAAATCATCTGGATGGTCAGTTCTGACCCATGAGTCAGTTCTGACTCAATAACACATAACAACAAGAACAACAATTCATTAATATAATAACTAGTAAGTACTCTGTATTAGTTAGGATACTGGGAAAGAAGCCTACTCCCTCTGTCATGATGGATGCAATGTTAGTTATACCAGCAAAAGACGATCCCTTATAAAACTGCCTTCACAGATTAACTCCTACTGCTGCTTTTGGTTTCTATTTCTTCATTTAATAAATATTTATTACCACAGTAATAAATATATCAAAGATCTGTACAAACATACTGCTCAAGTAATGAGGGAAATGATGAGAAAGGCTATAAAGAAAATTAATTCAGAACAGAAAAATAAATGGGGCAAAGAAATCAGCAATACCAAAAAAGAGTGCAGCATATTGCATAATATGGCTGTATCTAGAGGATATAATGCTAAGTAAAATAAGCTGCAAAAGGATTCTTATGGTATAAGACCATTATTATAAAAAGCTAAGGAAACTTTAGTGACATAGTCAGATGAGTGTTCTGCAAATCAAAAGGTGGCATCTTTCTGGTGGTTTGACCCCACAAGCAGCTCTGTAGGAGAAAGATGGGCAATCTCCTCCTGTGTGATTTACAGCCTCTGAAAACACACTGGTGGGTCAGCTCTATCTTGACAGTAATGTGAGAGAGAAAAAAAAGTTAGGGACAGGTTTACATACAAAAGGAATTAATTTTTGGATAGTTACCAGGGATACAAAGGGAGAGAGAGAGGAATGAAAATTAGTAAGTCAATTGTATGAAGGAGAAGGCAATAGAAATATATTGGTCAAACATAATATATTAATCTGTTGTAATTAATGTTATAAAATGTGAATGAGTAATTAATGAACTTTTAATTATAATATAAAAAATAAAAGCATGAGAAAAAAACATACTTCTAAAGTCTATATAAAAAAAAAAAAAAAAAAAAACAACCCCATGTGGATATTTTTCTTATCTCTAATAATACCTATTAATTCTATCTAGGTTTTTTTGCCCAAATAATCTGTAAAATATATAATGAATCTTCTTTAAGACTCGAGCACTCTGATGACATTTAAGACATGGTACGTAAATATTGAATAGGGACTATTTACCAGACCACTTACCCTGTCCAGATCATAAAAGATGCTTCTTGTTCTGAGTGTTTAATAAAGTCAAATGCTGACAAAATAAGCTGATAAGGAGAATCACACAAGACATCTCCAAAAGGGCCAGGGTTGGAGGCATTTGCACCTTTGGATGAGGAGCACACCTTGGTGTGGTCAGCCGTGATGTGGTAAGTAGGGTCTAAGTGTAAGTCCGTAACATGCCAAAACTGTCCTGTGGATTAGACAAGAAATGCTATTAAATCGAGTTGTTTTCTTTTGGATTTCGCATATAAATATTTACACAGTAACAACAGACAGTTGCTTCCATCGATTAAGGAAGAAAGTCATGGTTATTTAAAGGTTGGGATGGTCTAAAGAAAAATGCAATAGTTTCCAAGAGGTGTCATGGAGATTCCAATATAATTGGAAGTATCTTCACATATCAGAACTGATTGGTTCAGAGGATAGCATGATGACTATAATGAAGACTATGTGACAAGTTGTGGAGTTTATCTTTCAATATGGCTTTTCTAACATGGATGACTATGTAGATAACTCTGTAGATGGGTGGGGCTATGTGAGCGGGGCATGGTAGCTTATCCACAAAGGGACTGGCTAGCTACCATTCCACAAGAGGATTGGCCAGTCTCAACAATCAACAATAGGATTGGCTAGTGTTGCCAATAAATTGAATAGCTCTAGCTGCAGAGATAAGAACTCTTCCCCCACCAGAAGAGATGGAATTCTTTCCCCAGCCAGAGAGATGGATCTTCCCCACGATCTCCCAGAGAAATGGAGGTCAAGCTTTAGGACAGCAGCAGCAGTAATAGCTGAACTGGAAAACCAGTGTAAGATGGGACTTTGGGGGGGGGGTGCCAATAGTGGTAGGACTAAGAAGTTTGTTAGACAATTGGGTGAAGATCCAATATTGGCAGGATGGAGTACTCTGTTGGACAATTAGGGAAGTCAATAGTGGCAGGACTTGAGAACTCGGGCTTAAGGCTGAGTTGCCCCCGTGCACATTTTGGGAGCTCTCTTGACTATATTCTATTATTAATCTGAATTATAAGCTTTTGACTCCTCCAGTATGGTTTTGTGTGGTCTGTCTGCTATCACATCAGATTTTGGACCCAGCCAAGCAGCAAGATTAGTGGTGAGATGACTAGAAGGAAGCATGGCAGTGTGGAGAACATGTTAGACCTAATGGGAATTGGTTTTGTTACTGATGCTGTGGGTGGGAACAGTTTCCCCCTGTGAAGCTGGTAAAGATCAGATATGGCACTCCCCATGTGGTCCTTGCTCTTTTTATACATGGACTGCCAAAAGAACACATAAATCTTGTTTTGAAGGAAGTGCAACCAGCGCACCTTAGAACACCCTTATTTTGCGCATGTTGTCAGGTAGAACCAGTCCTCAGAGAAAGGTATCATGCTAGGAAAGGTAGCAAGAGGATCAAGGAAACAGAAGAGGACCCTCAGTAAAATGGATTAACACAGTGACTACCACAATGGGCTTGAGCAGGACACAGATTATGAGGATGGCATATGATTGGGAATGTTCGCATCTGTTGTCCACAAGGTTACCGTGAGTCACAGTCAACATGATGGAACCTAACAACAATAACAAGTAACAAAAGGACTTTACATCCTACTGGAAGGTCTATAGTAATTATCAAATTGTGTCTTAACAGCAAGTATCCTAGAATTTAATGTTTGGAGAAGTCTTCCTATTTTTTCCCCCATAAAAATGAACAGAAATACAATGTAGTTCATCTGTTTCTCAGTCCATGCATTGCAGAACCTGGAACTAAATTTCACTCTTAAGTTTCCTGACCAAGTGCCTCTTCAACTTCAGTGTAAAATGTATATACACCACTACTATTAGATTTTGTGCCTCAAACCATCGTTTATAGAAGTCCTTAAGATCTATAACAGAGGCAAATCTCCCATCACACACTCCTATTCAATATTAATTATATTAAGGGAAGCAGATGTTTAAGATGATGATGCCATTGAGTATCTAAGTGAACTCAAGAAACCATTTGATATATCTCTTCTTGGAATTCACCTTAATGAAATTCTTTCACATAGGAAATTTTATTACTAATACTAACAGTATCTCTTTGTATTAAGTACCTGCTATTTGTCAGATTTTGTGCTGAGCAATATAAATATACTGTGCTGTTTCATATGGCGGCCTGATGATGCAACGGACTGAGCACTGGACTATAAATGAAAAAGTTAACAGAATCAACTCATCACTCCACAGGACAGAGATGAAGCAGTCTGCTTCTGTTTAGGTGTGGAAACGCTGCAGGGCAATTCCACTCAGCCAGTTTTATTCTGCCTGTTTTTTACTGTCATTTCAGTCAAATTCCCTTGGAAACAAGAATCACTGTCCTTGATTTTAGAGTTGAGAAACTAACGCAGGGTCAATTAGAAAGTTTGTTCTAGCACACAAAATATAAATGGCATAGTCAAAATGTGAATTCAATTTTGAAGGGCTCCCACATTTCTTTAGATATAACTTAAAGATATCATCAATGATTTTGCTGAGGCTTTGTATATAATTCGAATATCACTTTAATATTGAGGTCTTGCCACACTGAGATGAGAGGTGTGCTGGTAACCCAAAGGCCACACCTCTCTGGCAGTTCAAATGCACCAATGGCTCTAAGGGAAAATACTGGACCATTTCCTCTTGTGTGACTTACAGCCTGAGAAAACTCTCAGGAGGGTCACCTATCAGTTGATTCTGGCTCAATGGCAATGAGAATAAAAAATACACTAAGTAGTGGAGCTCTGGTGGCCTAGTGGCAAGAAGCTGTGCTGCAATCCCAGAGGCACATGGATCAAATCCATCAGATGTTCTGCTGGGAGAAGGAGGGGCGATCTCTGCCTATACCAGTCAGATCTGATTTGACAGTACACACACACAAAAATAGTAAAATAATAATAATAAAAAAAAGAAAATAAACAAAGTAATTATTTTTATACTTTATAGATATTAAGTCATTGTTAACAACAATTTACAGATAAAAAAATAGAAGTACAAAGAAATTAAGTTCAAACTACATGTTTCATAAATAAGGAGTTAGGATCTGAAGTCAAGAAAATTAACTCCAGAATCCAAATGGCCTTCAACCTCTGCACACTGATTTTCTGTGTGTTCACATTTGGATGTCCTCCATTCTCACCTTCACCACACATAAAATAGATGATACCATCTACATATGAAATCAAGGCCCCTAGGTTATGGATTTTGTGCTAGATTGTTATTGTTGTTGTTAGGTGTCATCAACTCAAGCACAACTCATAGCAACCCTATGAATAAAAGATCAGAATCCTCTTCTATTCTGTGCTATCCTCACACTTCCTGATACACATGAGCCCATTGTGGCAGCCACCTGGTTGAGGGTTTTCCTTTCCTTTACTGACCCTTGACTATTCCCAGCATCATGCCCCTCTCCAAGGAATAGCCCCTCCTAGCAAAATGCCCAAAGTACGTGAGATAAAGTCGCATTATTCTTGCTTCCAAAGATCCTCTTGCTGCTCTCTCTCCTAGACATAGCTGTTTGTTCTCTTGGCCGTCCATGGAATGTTCAGTGCTCTTCCTCAACACCACAGCTCAAAGGCATCAATTCTTTTCTGTCATCCTTATTCATTGGCCAGCTCTCAGATGCATAGAAAGTGACTGGAAAGACTATGGCCTGAATCAGACACACCTTAATCCTCAAACTGACATCATTACTCCTCAATAATCTAGAGAGTTCCCTCACTGCAGATTTTCCCAGGGCAATGCATCTCTTTACTACCTGGATGCTAGGGTATTAATTGTAAAACCCAGAAAGATGAAGCTGTTGACAATTTCAATCCACAGAAACCAAGATATGATCTTGAGTCAATTCCATTTGAATTTCAAGATCATCTTAGGAATAGGTTTGCAGCAATGAACACCAGTGATCGAAGACCAAGTGAGTTGTGGGATGATATCAAGAATATATATCATCCATGAAGAAAGCAAAATGTCATTACAAAAACAGAGGAGAAAGGAAAAATTGAAATGAGTGTCAGAAGAGGCTCTAAAAATTGTACTGGAGTGTCAAGAAGACCAAACAAAAAAAAAAAAGTATGCCAAAGTAAAAGAGGTGAACAGAAGATTTCAAATGGCAGCTTCTATCTTTTGAGAGGACAAAGCAAAGTATTATAATGGAATGCTCAGAGAGCTGGAATTGCAGAATAAAAAGATAGGCACTCGTTCTGCTTTCTCAAGCTGAGAGAACTGAAAAACAAATTTAAACCTCATGCCACAATACTGCAAGAAGCTCAACATCAAGAAAACAAAGATTCTCATCACTGGGCCAAATGGCAGCATCATGATAGACACTGAAGAGACTAAGATTGTTAACAGCTTCCATTTGCTTGGCTCCACAATCAACAGTCTTGGTACTAGCATCCAGGAAATCAAAATATGAATTGCACTGGGAAAATCTGCTATCAGGGTCATCTCCAGAGTACTGAAGAACAATGATGTCAGTCTGGAGACTAAAGTGTGCCTGATCCAGACCATGGTTTTTGCAATTATTTTCTAGGCATCAGAAAGCTGAGCAATGACTAGGGATAACAGAGAGAGAACTGATGCCTTTGAGCTGTGGTGCTGGAGAAGAGTATTGAATATACCATGGACTGCTAAGAGAACAAACAGATTCATCCTAGATGAGTTGAAACCAGGCTGCTCCTTGGGAGAAAGGATTGTGAAGCTCCATCTAATATACACTGGGCATGTTGCAAGGAGGGACCAGTCCTCGGAGAAGGACATCATGCTTGGAAGGGTGGAGGAAGAACGGGAGGGGAGGACCTCAATAAGATGGATTGACTCAACATGTACGGCTAAGCATAATTGATAACAGTGCATCTAAATTCCAAAATCAATCTCCATAATAGTCTATGTGTTTCCTATTGTCAAAGGTGCCCTTTAGAGTAGTGAGAGAAGATCTTCACCCTGAAACCGACAGCATCCCTTTTCAGCAGGAAGTAGCTAAGAGAATACGCCGTTCCCTTTTCCTTATGAATCAGGGTGAAGTCTCTCTCAGGGAGGAGTGATAGGGAATGGCAAAGGACACACTGACAAAGGAAATTAATCAGAACTGGATTTGACAAGCACTGTGGCAATGGGACAACTAAAACAGACTTTCAAGGGGGGAAAAAAAGAGGAACAAACTAGGGGGAGGGT